CCCGAACATACTCTGACGTTGTATGTGATGTCCAAATTTTTTAGGGTGACTTGTTTGCTAGATTAAAACAAATGTCGCACATCGTTGTCTTGTTTTCACAAGAGTGCAATTTGGACAAGAAGCATGTCATCGGTTGTAGTGGAGGGCGTCAATACTGCGAAGAGTGGCAAATATGGGTCAAATCAAGGGAAGAAGATGAGGATTCAAGAGAAGTGGAGCTCGGATTTTAAAGTTGTTGCCATCAGAAAAGCTCACCCTAAAAATTTCTATAACATGTTTCCTATAATATACTTCTATGCATACTAAAAGCGTAAGTTAATTTAAAGCGAAAACAAATGGCATTTACACTTACTTAAATTTCTATAACATGTTTCCTATAATTTCTCACCCAAATGGCATTTACACTTACTTAAATTTCATTTACAATTACTCAAATTTACCTGAAAGATATGTGTCTCCTAATTCTATTGTTTAGAAAATTATATCAAATCTTACCTAAGTATTGTTGTAATTATTTAGGTTTAAGTTAGAAATTAAAAGGTCAATAATTTATTATAAGTTCAGTAAACTACATCATAACAGCCAAAGAACTTATTAAAAATTGGTCAAGAATATTTATTACAACAAAAAAAATAAATAAATAAAAGTAAGGAAGAAAAGGGCCCGATTTAGCGAACATAATTAGAAAATAAAAGAATAAAGTAAACGCAGTGAAAAAAAGGAGGAAGATTTAATGAACCTAACTAATAGATAAAAGAGAGGAGGGAAGATGGAGTGAACAGAATTAAAAAAATAAAAGAGAGGAAGAAAATGAAAGATTTCATTAATAGAATTAAAAGATAAAACAGAATAAATACATATGAAAAACGAACCGTAAACATATTTAAAAGATAAAATAGAGTAAATATTAGAGTCAGTGAAAAGATTAAATGATAATAGAGAATAAATATGATAATCCAAGAATGTTCGTCAAATTCTTTCTATAACATAGTAATAATAAAATGAAGGAATAATAAAATGAAGGAGTAATAATAGAATTAAATGATATTAGTTTCTATAACATTTCGACTTTGCATGAGGAGTTTCTAATGGTCACACAAGTCTAACACATGGGCTATTATAAAATTTAAAAAATTGAACTTGAAATTAATGTCATAAGTTCATATAGGTTGACTTGGATACAAATGATAAAATCAAATTTTCATTGAGGATAAATTGGTGACACTAGTCTAAGCTAATCAAGCAAGCGATCTTACTATTAGCATAGTTATATTTGATGTTGTGTATTGACACGTGTCCCGTGGTTCTACAGATGTCATATATTTGATATGTGTGAATTATTTATGAATTGATATGACTATGATATGATATGTATATGTATATGTTATGTTATGTGAATGGTATGATAACACTTACGGTATGATGTATTCAATGAAATGTTTGAAATAGAATACGAGAAGGTTGCGATAAACGTAATGTAACAATATGACTAAGATATGTTCATGAAACGATATACTTAGGATATGTTTGGGAAATTATATGACTAAGGTATGCTCATGAAATGAATGACTTATGGGTGCAGGTAGGGAGTCTCCAACTACCATCTAATCAAGATCTTGTTCGAATGAGAGTGGAGTCCACATAGGTAAATGAGAACTTGATAGTTGAGAGTTGCTGCCTCCCTTGTGAGACAATGATTTATAGGTTGGAATTGACACTAGGGTTGCACCTCGAGGACCTATAATACAGGTCTAGAATGATGATGACGATGAAAGAGACTAGTAGAACAATGATTTGAGATACCTTAAGAACCCAAATGAACTTGAAAGGCTGGAGGTGCAAATAGGACCGAAAAAACCAAAAGCTAATAACATCTGCTCTTTAACATAAGTTGAGTTTAAGTAGAACAAATAAATTAAGAAAGTAGTCGAGGAATGAACTCCCAATTAAGAACGAACTAGGAACTACTAACAAACTGCTTACTAAATATATTTTATATATTCTTTTATGTTACTTCAACTTTCTTTTTAGATGAGGCATGATGGAGCAATCGAGGCAAAGGCGCACATGAATTGTAGGGCTATAAAGGTCGAACTAGATTGATTTGACTATTATTTTACTTGAATTTCTTTAAATTTATACGCATTTTCAAAATTTAAAATTTATATACATTTTTAAATATTTGATGCGAGTAGGTGACAAAATATGAGCAACTACTAGGTGGTTAATTACGAAAACACCCCAATATGTGACTTTATACGAAAACAAAGTGAATAAAGAGAGAAGCAAATGGTGGGATTCCACAACGATGGTGAGAACCCTTTTTATGAACCCTTGGTCTAAAATTGATCCTCTTTTCCTTCCCCAACCATTTTGTGAACCCTTTTTATGTGTCCTTTTTGAAGGAGATTCCGTCGCCCAATTGGAGGTAAGCATCAAACCCACGGGCCCACAAATGTACGGCTCAGATCATCTGTTATATGGGAAACGAAAACACCTGATTCTCACCCCCTTTATCCTATTAAATTTCACTGAAAAAACATAAGCATAATTCCTAACGTGTGGCGGCCGTATGCATCACGCACTCCTCTATCCTCCCACGTGTCGCCACGTCACCAAAAGCTACCCCAACTGGGTGCCACTTCTTCGCAAGTACAGTTCAGAGCAGTGACAAAGTAAGTCAAAGTTCGGATGTTGACGTTTGAAAGACGGTTCGGAACTGGGGCAAAAATAAATCTTAATACTTTCTGCGGGGCCCACCCAGATCTTTTTTCTTTTTTTTTTTTTTTTTTTGATTTGATTCGATGATTCGCAAATGGAGGGCTGATGATCAATCATTCACTGTGTCTGGAAGATGGGGAAAACAAATTGAATACTCTTTTATCATTATTCTTTGCTTTTCTTTACTTTGAATGATTGATCCAAATTTATTCACCCAATTTTATTATATACAAATTTCTGAACTTTTATTCACATAAAATAAAATTCCACAATTTTATTGGTATTAGTAGATTATATTATATTAAATTCCTCATCATCTGATTTGATGCTCATGCTTTTATCACCATCCATCAGATCTTCTTATCTTCTTCTCATTCCATTAATTTATTTTTAATTAAATTCTGTTTTTTTTTTTTTTTTTTATTGAATTGGTGTCACACAGCTGCATTTTAGATAATCTTCCCCCTATTAAAAATATATTTTAAGTCGCAATATTATCATTATTCTTTATAGGTTGAAAATTCTCTGGTCGATAGGTTCTAGTGTCTATTATTATTATTATAATTGTTCTTATATATTATTTATTATTTCTTGTCCCAAGAGGAATTGAAGTGATTATTTTGGTTAGGGATAGGGATGTACACAAGTTGGATTAGAGAAATTTTTTTAACCAATCTAAAATTGGGTTATTGAACCAAGTAACCTAAATATAATTTTCAACTCTTTTTTAAAAAATAATTAATTAATTATCTATAATATGTGTTATATTAATAACTAAAATATAACCAAATTCAAATATAAAAAATAGGTTATAACTGTGATTTATTTTTAATTTTCTTAATAATTCCAAAACTAAGATAGGGTTTATTTTTTGAGGTAGTTGAAGCAATTGGACAGAATTTTCAGTTTTTATAAAACTCAATCCAATTCAAATCGAAACAAAAACCTAACTCAACCAACTTGTATTATTTGGATGGGTTAGTTGGAGTTGGTCATGAACCGTCCCGATTATAATTGTATGGTAGGGTGATGTATTGTAGTGAAATATAAGCATCCACTGGGTTAGGCCCAATATTATGGAGGGCCCATCCAACGGAAAAGATCTGATGATGATTCCATTATATGTATGGGCCAGGCCCAGGTCAAAACTGCGATGGTTCACACAATTTGAGATATTTTGAGCATCCATTAGGACTAAAATCACACGTGTCTTCGTTTAACTGGTCCCTGCATCATTTAATCAACAGGTGTTTGAACCAGAAAAAAGACCACAAATATATCAAAATTTATTTTTTAATAAAGGTTATAAATTATTTTAGTTTTCCTACTTAGTCCATATAATTTTAAATCTTCAAATTTAATTTATTTGCTCTCAATAAATTTTCAATTTAATCTTTATTGTTAATTTATTATTGATTTTTTAAAAAAAATTAGTCTCTCTAGATTTTAAAAATATATTCACATCATTTGCTCAAAATTAAATTTAATTTTGATATAAATCTATTTAGAGATTAAACTTTTAACTTAATATAAATTATTAAAAATTAACTCGAAAACCAAATACCAATACACGTGGCAAATGATGCAATTGAATTAAGTTACCTCCAATAAATGTTTTTTTTTTTTTTTTTTTAATGGAATGATCTAAAGAAGAATAGGTTGGTTTTGAATGGATATAAATGCAAATGAAAAAGTAGTAGATTTGGATGAGTGGATAAGTTTGTATTTGTTTTGAGAGAGACATTATCAAAGTGTGGTTTTTTGTACATTAAATATTAATCTAAATCTACATAAAATGTTCTATTCGCTATAAAAGCTCTGTCCCTTCTGGGAGTTGTAGTGTAAATATAAAGAGTTGTGGTGGTCTCACCAAAAATATTATTGAGAGTTTGATTTCCAAGGGTAACATTAGCTCAACAAGTTTTCCAATTAAAATTTATACATGTGTTTTAAACTTGTATAATTTTTAATTTATACATGCTAATATATTAGAACAACCTATTATTCTATTAAAATAATGTCGTCACTACATGCATGACATGACTGTTACATGTGAAAACATTCATTTAAAATAATATTTTAAAACACATAGCTAATGAAACTAGAGTTTTTGAGATATTTTAAAGGATTCGTATATTGGAATGGGAAACATATCTTTGGCAGATTCAAAGATCTTCCAATCATTTGATAAAAGAAAATGGATAATGAATTTTGTAAGCAGCAGAATTGAATGAACCACGAGTTAAAATCCATCGTCTCTCACTGTTGGGAGGTACATAAAAGACAAACTCCAAGTGGTAAGTAGTTTAGTAGCAAATCCTATAAAAGTATTTACAAAGTTGACCAATTCCAACCCATATGGCTATCACCTCCCACTGTCTTCTAATCTAAACCAAAACCATACATTATTTCCTCCTCCCAAACACATAAAAAAGACAGAGTTCTGTACATCATCCACAAAAATGCCTTCTTTTTCTTCTTCAATCATCACAATCCACCATTATAGGCACTCATTCTCTCCTTGCCAGCTCCAAACGATGTCCTTCAATGCAGGCCTCACATCCTTCTCACAAAACTTATTGTACTCCAATGTGTCCCCTGCCGACTTCGAGAACTCGACCACCGCCAGCTCCGGCGCTACCTCGTAAACCTCCACCGTCACCGCCAGCTTCCCTTTCCTCCCCTCCTCCTTGGCCTGCAGTCTCACCTTGAACTCCCTCTGATTAGTAGCCTTGAAGTTCAGCTTCTGCGCTAGAGACTGAAGCTTGGCTATAATGGCTGAAGCAGAGCATTTTGAAGTGAAAATTGAGGCTTGTTTCTTCTTGCTTTCAAACAAACTAGTCAAGTCAAAACCAGAGGACATTGAGGAAATGAACTCGAAGGCGTTGTAGAAAGGAGGAGAAGATGACAACAACTTGGGATTTGTCAAGTCAGAGATTTCACTGTTGAGTTCGTCTTTGTCATTGAATGAAAGTGGCTTTGTGAAGCCCTTTTGAAACCAACAACTCTGCATTATCTCATCCATTGAAGCTCTCTTCTCAGGATCAACAACCAGAAGCTTTGACACCATTTCCTTAGCTTCTGAAGAAAACCAAGGAGGAAACTCAAACTCCGCCTTGAAAATCTTCCTATACAACTTCATCACATTATCAGCTTTAAATGGCAGAGACCCAGCAAGCAACACAAACAAAATCACTCCACAAGACCAAAGATCCGACTTAGCGCCCTCGTATCCCCTCTTTCTGAGCACCTCAGGCGCTACATACGCCGGTGTTCCACACCGTGTGTGAAGCAATCCGTCGATCCGGAGCTGCTCCGGCAGGGCGGAGAGGCCAAAATCAGATACCTTCAAATTCCCATTCACGTCGAGAAGGAGATTTTCAGGCTTCAAATCACGGTGAGAGACACCACGGCTGTGGCAAAAGTCCACGGCGGAGAGAAGCTGTTGAAAGTACTTTCTTCCTCCATCTTCTGTCAATTTTCCTTGTTGAGACAATTTAACAAACAGTTCGCCTCCATTAACGTATTCCATCACAAAATACACCTTGGATTTCGTGGCCATTACTTCTTTCAATTCCACTATATGGGGATGACGAACCAACCCCATGACAGAAATTTCTCGCCGGACTTGCTCAAGAAGTCCCTCTTTCTTTACCCTGTCCTTGAGGATCACTTTAATGGCGACACTGTCGTGGGTCATCAAGTTTGTTCCATGATAGACCTTCGCAAAGGTTCCTTTCCCCAATAGCCGACCCATTTCGTATTTTCCAAACAGAACATTCCTCGCCGGCGCCGCCTTACCCGCCATCTCAAATTTCTGTTCAACAAAGATTCGAATTAGAGGTTTGAATTGGAGGGGAAAAGAGGGGAAATAGAGAAGACCCAGAAGAGTAAACTTAGGATTTTGGAGGAAAACAGAAAGGGGGAGTGATTTGGGGTGTGAAAACAGAGCATTTTGGGCGGGAAATGAAGAGAAAAAGGGTGTGTTAGTGAGGTGTGGGCGAGAAGTGGGGAGAGATGGGATAATGAAAAGGAGGATTATAAAGAAAGCGGAGAAGAATAGTTGAAAGAGTGAATGGAGTATTGAAGAACACGGTTTAAGTTGGTTTGTTTGTTTTGGGGGACTCTTAAGCAGTGGGCTATCACACAAATCACAATCGCCACATACAAATATCTACATTTTTGCTATTTGAATAATTGAGAATATCTTTTCCAATTAATGTTTGACACGTGGGCCCAAAAAAATATTCTCAATAATTCAGGTTTAGATTAGACACAACCATCTCAATAATATATATATATATATATAATAAAATAATGAATTAATAAAAATATTCTCTATTTTTTTTTTTTAAGTATTTAAAAAATATCCTTAAAATTTTTACGAACTTCATTAATATCATACAAATTTGTTGAAAGGTTAAAAATACTATGGTCCAGGATTATATTTAAAAAATACTCATAAAATTTTAAAAATAACATTAATCCCTTTTTATCTTATTAAAATAAAGTTCAAATTTTTTATTACCATCAATATATGGCAGAGAACTATCTATCAAATCTTAGAGATTATAAATTTTTTAATCTTAGGAAAGTTTTAAAAAAGTTTAAAGGTATATTTTAAAAGTGTAAGGGATTTCCTTTTTTGAAAGTTTAAATATAGTTTTTCAAATAAAGTGTTAACAATTTCTATTAACGAGATGATATTTTTTAACTTTAAAGTTGTATTAAAAATTTTAAAAATTTAAGAATATTTTTAGAGGAGGTATAAAGTTTAAATGTATTTTTATTAATTTAATTTAAATGATACCTCAACCATACAGATACAAGGACAAAGTAAGAATACCTAATAAATCATATTAATACACCCTACTCATATATTATTGAAATTATTACCATGCAATTTATATTTACAATATAATTTGTTATTTACGTACCAATTCTGAAGGGGTAATATGTTATAATGTATAAAAATAATAGTTGAGGGAAACATTGGATCTTACTTTTATTTTATTAAAAATAAAAATAAAGCATGTAATTTGAATAAACTTTTTTTTATCTTTTTAGTTATTGAATTTTCCTAAGACGATATAAAATTTTATATACAAAATGTTACCAAGTATGACTTAAATAGGACCGTATAAAGTTGAAAGAGAATCTAGGCGGGAATCTCTTGAAATAAAATCTGTTAAAGATTAAGTTTGAGATTGAGAGAGAAAAGTCTAGATTCATGTTAGGAATGGAGGGAGAAATCTCACGTTCTATTAATGAAATTGGCTATTATATAGCATTACAGAATCAAATCGGACTAAAGTGTAGATTTGATTTCTTTTACCATTATTTTCATGCATTTTAAATTATAAAATATCTCCATACTCAAAATTAGGTTGTTGTAATATATTAATTAAATGACATGAAATATAAAGTATATAACTTATACTATTTATATTCTTAATATTTCGTATACAAGTTATACAACAAATATTGATTAAAAAAATTTGATATCAAAACCTAAATAAGTAACCATAGATTAAATGAATACAATTTCATATAAAAAGAAATCATTCACAAAAACAATATTCACCATAAATGAACAAAAACAAATAATACCAGAAAGAATATAACTTTTTTTTTTTCAGAAATATTTAAAAAAAATTGTATAAAAATTTATTATTATTTTTATTTAGGTTTTGGAAAAAATCCAAAGAAAACGAGAAACTTGATTTGTTAATAAGTTTAATATAATTGACATATTTTGTTCATTTTTCGAATTTAATAATTTAAAATTTCAATAAATAAAAACAATAAATAATTACCGAACACCAATAAATAAATAACAAGCAACAATTCAGATAGAAAGAGAGAGAAAAAAAAAGAATAAATAAAGAATGGAAAATGTTAATGAAATCCACATAATATGACAAATAAATTTAAAATTTGAAGCGTAAAGACAACTTTTATTTAAAAAAAAAAAGTTTATTTATGAATACATCATTTTGGCGCCAATTGTAATTTGACAAATTGGTGTAGCAAATTGTGGAAGTTGAACATTAAATGTTTTGGATTTTGTTTGTATATCTCAATCATGCTTGTCTTATTATTAATCCTTCATTATCATTATTATTATTACTTCTTTTGAATCAAATGACACCATTTTTTTTTGTAATAAAGATCTTCAAAGTCTCAATCACTTCCAAAGTTTAATTATCTAAATAATTTATCTAGGTGGGATAAGACATTAAACAAATTAATGATTCTTTTTTTTTTAATAATAATTTTCACTCGACTTTCAAATTTCACAAATAGTTGTATGCATATATTTGAAACGTTGTGTTCTCTTTACTCGATATTATTTACAAAGCCTGTTCAAGAGGAGAAATTTTTGTATATTTTTATTATAGCCTTGAATTGCTTTCTACTAAAGAGGAGAAATTTCACAAATTGTTTCACTGTATTTTTATTTTTATTTTTTTTTTTTTATCTCAACAAAGATAGAAATTGCAATAATTATTTAAGTCTAGAGTCCAATTCTTTTTAAATTAAAAAAATTTATGGTAAAAATTGATAAGAAGAAAAAAAAATTGTTTTCTCTTCTAAATTTGAATAAAGTTTTTGTTTTAAAAAATAAAGTTGAAACTCGTATCCCCTCATTCCTAAAAACTCTTGCTTCTAGCGCCCAAAGAAGAACAAAAAAAAGGAAAAAGTTTGATTTGACAAATGTGTCATTAGATATTTTGAAGCCAAATTCAGATATTTATATAATAAACCAAAGATACATTAAAAATAAAAAATAAATGAGATGAGAAAAATGTGTATTTACTCCCTAAATTAAAAAGAAGAAAAAATAAAATCTATTTCTTTTACTTTTAATAAATTTTTAAATTTATATAGGTAAATGTACATTTGTTTTCAATAATTTATAAGACACAAAATAAAAATTGGAGGGATTTAAAGTTTTAATGACTAAATAGACACGGGCATAAAGGGTAACAACACTAATCTTCTACTAAAATAGACGTAATCTCTTAATATGGAAACATTCGTTTAAAAAATATTCATAAAACAATGTCATGGAGTTGTACGTTAACATAAAGGTCGTGATAACACAAAAGAAATGTTCAATGTAATTTAAAATAAAACCAAAGAAAATACGAGACTAAAAGAATACAACTTAGATTTCATGATTTTTAATGCGATACAACTGTTAACTGTATAAAGGTGTCTTGTCGTTATTAAGATATTAAGAAATATTCCGTAAATGATTCTACTATTGAGGCCATGAATGCAAACACAGAGGGAGTAGAAGGATACAACGGGTCGGAGTTATAGGTTTATGGTCCTGGGCAACGGCAACCCAAATTGGATATAACCGGAACCCAAAAACAATTCTCAGCCCACGCACAACTGCCCGAACACAATCTCTACAAGAATCGCAGCCCAGACGGTACCACCACCACCCAACAACCTCACCCTCGCCCCACTCACACAAACCACTAACGACCCACACACGCAATCCCGCAGCGCGATCCGCGAGTACCCGAGAGAGCGACCCGACTCGGATCAGCGAACTGCGCGCGCTCTAGCCCTTATCAACGCTTGATGCGTGTCGGCTCCTTTGGCTCACTCGACTCTGTTAGCGGCTTGGTGGCTCCGCGGCTAAAATTCAAGCTATCTGGCTCGGTCTAGACAATTTGGCACGGTTCCCTATACTATAGACCCTGTTAGAGATCAATTTGACCTTATTTAAGCAATTAGGGTCTCTATAAGGCTATTTCCTTGGTTTGAATTAAATTAAATTAGAAACTTTTAGCAAATATTCTAATAGGACGAAATGTCTCGACGATAATTGGAACAATTTGGAAGGAGGAAATCAAGCATTTAAGTTTAAGGAGTCTGTCAGCTAAAGCCAACCATGTAAGATGCTATTTTAGTCATTTATTAATTTTTCTAAAACTAAAACCCAAGCAAAATATGAATTTTTCCAGCCAAAGTTGAGCCAAGCCGAGAGGGGACACGCGTCACGCACAAAATAATATTAGTGGCTATTTTAGTCATTTATTAAATTCAAAATAATATTTAAATATATTAATCCATCATTTTTCCATTTTTCCAAATGTACAAATAAAATAAATTCGGTCACTCATCCAAGGCTAAGCATCAGAAGATATGGGCCAATTGGGCTCTCATTCATTGAGTGGGCCGATCAATGGGCCTAGAAATGGGCTTACCTTTTTGCTAATTATTGAACATTGGGTTTTTCTCAAGATGGTTGTTTCAACAAATTATTTGATTAAAAGTGTCCCACCTCCCTCAAATTTGCAGTTATATGTATGCTCAACTAACAAATTAGAAGCTGGTTAAAACATCGAGCATGGGAGTCCTCGAGTGTCTTGGCAGTTCAATAAATTTTACCATTTTTTTTTATTTTTTATTTTTTAAAGTGTAATACGATAGTATTTCAGTTTGATATTAAGTTATTTTCTCACCCAAATAACTTAATTATTGAAAGGTTAGATAATACACAAATTCCATTATCTAAGAGGAGAATTCGACCAATTAAACTAGACTATGCAAGCGAGTTGGTCTTGTTCCTGCTTGAAAATGACTCAAATAATTATTTAAATTATTGATAATAGTTTTGAGAAGGTGGCTGTATCCAACTCGAATGGGTAGGCCTGCAGCCATACCCTTTGGATCCAAAAGTCTCTCTCAATAGTCTATTTTTTTAATTTAATTGAATATAATTATTTAAATAACCAAAATCCAGCAACACCCAGTTGGAAATAAGTGCAAATTGATTGGACCACCACCCAATTATTTATTAATATTAAAAAAAGAAATGTTTAATTTATTTGTCTTGTTTGGTGGTGGTCAAGGCCATGGTCAAGATTTTTGAACGGTACGACGCCGTCCTCTCCAATTCAATTCCCTTTTACGTACCTTACCTTTCCTTACCTGGGTCTCCTCCGCCCACCTTCCCGTTTGACTTTTCTCTATCCTGTCCCTGTCGGATTCTTCCAACTTCCACGCATCACCTTTTCTTCTTTTTTTCAAATTAATTTATTAAATTTAGATTCATTTATTTATTATTATTATTAACATGAAAGTCTCACGTCTGC